GAACTATGTACCCGCTCTCCCGACCCCTGAGAGGTCTCTCTGTTCAGCAACGCTCCCCAGGACCCTCACCATTAAGCCCTGCCCTGATGTGCCTTTCCCGAAACGCGGCGCCTCGCGTTTCCCTCGATCAAACTCCGTCTGCCACCGCTTGGCCCATCCGATCGAGGTCCTGTTGCGCTCTTGAGGTGACCCACCAACCCTACCTCCTACGTTCCCATCCAAATCCTTTACGTACAGGTCAGAGAGCAGCGGACCCAGCTCCGATCCCTGTGGCGCACCCCTGGGCACAGGCCCCCAGCCCGAGAAATGTCCCTCTGCCACCCACCCTCTGTCTCCTACCTTCGAGCCAGTTCTGTATCCAAGCTCTCCCTGTATTCCATGGGGTCTAAGCTTTGCTAAGCATCAGGAACGTTGGCTAAATCCTCACTGAAAGACTGCTCTGCCCTCATCAATCCTGTCTGTCCTAGGGTCCTCCGGACCAGGTTCTGGGGGATTTATCCACGCTTTTAAAAACGTCCAGCACCGACCTCCTCCTATTTCCCGACGTTGCCTAGTTTCTGTATCTTTCTCCACAGTAAACACTCACGGGAAATAACCATTTAGTGTCTCCCCCTCCCAATCCCCTACGGTTCCACACGTGGAATCTTTAAGAGGTCCCGTTCTCTCTTCCCTGGTCAGCCTTTCGCACCCCCTCCCGACCCAACCAAGTCAACTTTCCAAAAGTTTGTGCCTACTAGCATCAAAGCTGGCCTTCCCTCCAATTTACAACTCTGAAACGTTCAGATCCCGCACCGTCCTTTTCCAACACCGCTGTTAGGATTGCAGTTACAGCTCAGCTCACCAAAGTCCCATCAATCACCCACCCTGCCTTCTACCCCACCGCCCCAACCCCCAGGTTTCTGGTAGGTACACCCGCGTACCGACTCGGAATGCGTCTTTTTTCCTGGCTCGCGCGGAACAGCTTCCTCCGCGTCCAGCCCCGTAACGCTGCGGCCGTCCCAGCCTACGTTTGGAGCGTTAAAAGCCCCACCCTGTTATCTTCGCACCATTTCCCGCTGACTATTGGAGGAGAGTTGGTGGGGGCAAGAGGTCTGTTCCCTGGACGTTATTCCCAGGAATATCCTGCCTACGTACAGCCGTCACGTCACCCCTTACCAAAAGCGCCACTCGCCTTCCTTTCTTGCCGCACCCCCGCCTTCAACCTTCGATCCTTCCTGTAGCATCGACGCCCTGGAACATTAAACTGCAGCTGCTCGTCCCTGAGCCACGCTGCGATATCCCGCTCCCATGTTCCCGGCCGTGTCCCGAGTTTATCTGCCTCACCTGTCAGGCCTCTTGCGTGGAAATAAACGCTGTTTCATTGATCAGTCCCAGTTCGTTCGCTGCCTCCCCTCCCGCCTGTCTGACTCGCTCCCTTTTCTTCCAGCCTCGGACTGATCTCTTTCCTCACTACCTGTCTGGCTCCCACCCCCACCGCTTGCTAGTCTGAAACCCCCGTCCCCGCACCCCGAGCAGCTCTGCCGAAGCTCCCGGCCAGTATATTAGTCCCCTACCTATTCAGGGTGTAACCCATCCTTCCCATACAGCTCACTTCTACCCCAGAAGAGGTTCCAATGATCCTTCTCCCCTTCGCCAGCTGCTCGGCCAAGCATTCATCTGCTCTGCCCTCCTACTCCTGCCCTCGCTAGCTCGTGGCGCCGGGAGTAACCCAGATATTCCTAGCCTCGGGGCCTACTTTTCCTTTCCAACTCCTGTCTAACTCCTCTCCTCCCCACGTCGTCCTTTTCTGTTTCTGTGTGATCGTGTGCCAACGTTTGTAACGACCTCCTGCTGGGCCCCTCTCGAGAACCTTCTATCCGTCTCCCTCCCGACAGCGCGGCGCTCCCTCGGTACTGGCACCGGGAGGGGAGGGAGGGACGAGATCTTTGCCGTGGCTGAAGCTTCTCTCTCTTGTCCTGCAGGGCGAAGACACAAGTCGACAGTGGTGAGGTGCCTGGCGTGTGGCCTGACCAAGAGGTTCCCCAGTAAACCAGGCTACATCCTGTGGGTGGATCGGCCAGAGGCTCAGCTTCAGAACCAGGCCCCGATCATAGCTCACACCCGGCCTGAACCAGGTGAGGGCACAGAGGGTGGGGATGGGGATGGGGGGAGATGCCTGCTCCTGACTGGCAGATGGAGAGAGACAGAGGAAGAGAGAGTCAGAGGAAGAGAGAGACAGAGAGAACGACAGAGCAGGAGGGAAAGGGAGAGGCGGAGAGGGACGGACGGGGAGAGGCGGGGGGGGAGAGAGAGAGAGAGGCGGGG